TGGCAGAACAGTAAAGACAGTGATTTTAATTGCAAATAAGTGTTCTCGTAGAAGGCAGTTATAAATATCTCTGTGCCATTAAGAGCCATGATTTGCTGGAAGAATACGATGGATGCTGGGCAGCATTGAAAAGACATTGGTGATGGATGAGGATGACAGCAGTTGCAATCTTAAATGAAAAGACACAGACCAGGCAATTCAAGCTTCCTTTGGTGCTGTTAGGAACTAATCAATGGCCTGGGGGTTCACAATGTAATAATAATAATAAAAAATAACAAAGTTGCTGAGCAGGAAGTCCCAAAATGTTGGGTGCCGTTACCAAAAGGCTCTGCTTTTCAGCAGCCAAGAGGCTGTTTTGCAGCCTGGAGCTTCTGCTGCCAGAGTTTGACCCATGACAGCCATTTGTCTGGAATGGTATAGGGGTTCCTGTTCAAGCAGGGGGTTTGGACTAGAAGACCTCCAAGGTCCCTTCCAACTCTGGTATTCTGTAAGTTCTATATAAGTCAAGATTTCTACCCTGGGATTTGGCATAGCTAATTCAAATTTTTTGGAGAACAAACATTCGATAGAAGTGGGTGGGAAATAATAATAATCATAATAATCATAATAATCATAATAATCATAATAATCATAATAATCATAATAATCATAATAATAATAAAGTTGGAAGGGACCTTGGAGGTCATCTAGTCCAACCCCCTGCTCAGGCAGGAAACCCTACACCATTTTGGATAAATGGCTGTCCAGTCTCTTCTTAAAAACTTCCAGTGTTGGAGCATTCACCGCTTCTGGAGGCAGGTTGTTCCACTGGTTAATTGTTCTAACTGTCAGGAAGTTTCTCCTTAGTTCTAGGTTGCTTCTCTCCTTGATCAGTTTCCACCCATTGCTTCTCGTCCTGCCTTCAGGCGCTTTGGAGAAGAGCTTGACTCCCTCTTCTTTGGGGCAGCCCCTGAGATATTGGAAGGCTGCTATCATGTCCCCCCCTCGTCCTTCTCTTCGTTAAACTAGACATACCCAATTCCAGCAACCGTTCCTTATATGACAGTATAATAACAGAGGATGTAGCTGGAGAGATTTCTTTTGTTTTATTTCTTAGGGAAAGGGATAAGTTAGAATATAAAATGGATTCATTTGATTAAGGTTAAATATATATATATATATATATATATATATATATATATATATATATATATATATATATATATATATATATATATATATATATATATATATATATATATATATATATATATCTTGGGTTTTTTTCTGGTAGCCCTAAAAGAGTTTTGCTGGTTAGGGCTGAGTAATATGTTTTTACAATTGTTTTGATTGGTAAGAAATGGATGAAGGGAAGAAGAGGTGTTTTTTTTTTAAAAAAAATAAAAAACTAGAGAAGGTGTTAAGCTACCGAGATCGTTTAATATTTGTCTGAATGGAGGAGAAAATTATTTTTTTAAATATCTTTTCTCTTGTTCTTTTTCTCTTATTTTCTTTTTCTCTGCACTGATCCCTTAATTTTCTTTGCTGTTTAAATTCTTCTTACTTTGTGTTAAATGTGTTCTAATTCCACAATCTCTGTCCTTTCCTCTCTTCTTGTCCCTCTTAGAAGCTTTTGCAGTCTCTGTTTCCACATCCTGCTAAAACCATGGAGATTTCTCCTGGCTGCCTTTTCCTGCCTTTCATCAGGATCCCCCCTTCTTTCCTTTGTCAAAGAGAAATGCAAAGACACTGATCTATTTCGCTTGACGGCAGGTTTTCTCAGCTTTTAGAAATAACTGGGTATCGACAGAATTGAAATCCGGTGGGTTTGAATTTCAGGCATGGCCTTTTCCAACTCAGCATGAAATGAGTTTCAAATCTCTTTTTTCAGCACCTTTCGGCCTGGGCTTCAGTTTCCAACTTGGTGCAAGATGCCGTCCACAGGCGCCAAAGTATCTGACTCACATTTCTTTAGTATTTCCAACAAAATGAATGCTGCTGCCTGCTTTTGTTTATACTGTCAGAGGAAGGAAGGAAGGAAGGAAGGAAGGAAAGAAGGAAGGAAGGAAGGAAGGAAGGAAGGAAGGAAGGAAGGAAGGAAGGAAGGAAGGAAGGAAGGAAGGAAGGAAGGAAGGAAGGAAGGAACAACCTGCCTCCAGAAGATGTGAATGCATCAACACTGGAAGTTTTTAAGAAGAGACTGGACAGCCATTTGTCTGAAATGGTGTAGAGTTTCCTGCCTGAGCAGGGGGTTGGACTAGATGATCTCCAAGGTCCCTTCCAACTTTATTATTATTATTATTATTGAAGGGAGGGAGGGAGGGAAGGAGAGAGGAAAGAAGGAAAAGAAAGAAGGAAGGGAGGAAGGGAGGAAGGAAGGAGGAAGGAAAAGAAGGAAGGAATAAGGGAAGGAAGGAAGGACAAAGAAAGGAAGGGAGGGAGGAAGAAAGAAGGAAGGAAGGAAAGAGGAAGGAAGGAAAAGAAAGAAGAACTAAAAGAGAGAGAGAGAAAGAAAGAAAGAAAGAAAGAAAAAGAAAGAAAGAAAGAAAGAAAGAAAGAAAGAAAGAAAGAAAGAAAGAAAGAAAGAAGGAAGAAAAACAGAGGTAGGTCCTCCTGACATTTTCCATACCATAACTTGAAACACTCAAATATTTCTTTAACATTTCAAATATGATTTGAAACCAAAAAAGATTTTAGGTCCAGTCATGGGGAGGAATGTTGTTTTTCCTTATTCTTTAAAATTATTAAATGCTTTTTTAAAAAAAATCAAAGCAGTTTACTGTAACAAAGAGATAGAACCAACAATAACTCACCTAATCAGTTGGAGCTAGTAAAATAGCCAGCAGACAGGCTGGAAAGCTCAACAAGTGAGTCATAAAAAACATACCTCAAGTCAGAAAAGATTCATACAGGCAGATTTGAAACGGTGAAATGTTTATTATCTGGGGGGAAAATGTTGGAAGGTGTTTCCCAAGCTGCTCAAAGTTTGCATTCACACTTAATTTGGTTCCTGAATTAGCCTTCCTCCTGGATTTGCTCAATACTTTGAAAATCAACCAACCAGATAAGGTGGATTCTCTCAACATGCCGAATCAGAAAATGAAAAGATTAAGCCAAGATGAAAACTGATCTAGTTTGGTATTTGTGAAACCCTCTGCCAGACGCAAAGACTCAAGATGATTTGTAAGGTTACAGCACATAAGATTTATTCAAGTTTACACACAAGACTCTAGTCAACTAACAACCAATGCTAAACTGGTGCTTAATAAGGCTCAACAGATTTTAAGGGGGAGCTGGATTAGACTCTGTTGTGACAATGCAAGGATTCTAAACTTAGGTTCTCCTGCTTGAGCGGGCAATTGGACTAGAAGATCTCCAAGATCCCTTCCAGCTCTATTCTATTCTACTCTTTCCATGTAATTCCCCTAGGGACCGTTTGTAACAAGCAGACTGAAAATGCAATTGTCAATGATCCTCTTTCCAGCAGTTTGTGGATTTTTTTTTTTAAAATAGCTAACGGCCACTACCGGATCTTTATTTACAATGGAGGAATGGTTGGTGAAGTTGACAGAATTTGCAGAGATGGAAAAAAATTGACTTGTTGATTAAGGAAAAGACAATAGCTACATTTGTTAGTGACTGGAAACACTTTATGGATTTTTTTTTTGCTGAAAATGGAAAAAATGGACTTATGATTGATGGGTTTGTTGATGAGAAAGGGTAGAATATGGAAAGAAGGGAGATGTGATATAAACTTAGGAAGATAGAAAATATAAATGCATTTATAACTACTGTGTAGTTGGAAGTCACTCCTTCATATTTTTTTTCTTTCTTTTTTCTATTTTTTTTATTACTTTCTTATCACTTTACTTTCTTTTTGTATTGTTTTTACTTTTCAAAAATTTGTATTGTTTTTACTTTTCAAAAAACTTCTTTAATAGTAGTCATTGCAGCATCTTTGCAGTGTTTTGATTGTATGTTGTGTGTTTCCCTTTCACTGTTTTGATTGTATGTTGTGTGTTTCCCTTTCACTCTTCTGCCCTTCTGGTCATCAGTATTTGCCTGATAAAATACATTTCACAGCTCTGGTGTTGGTTTCCTCAAGCATGACCTTCATCTATCTCTGTTTTTCCAAACTTGTCAACTTTAAGATGTGTGGACTGCAGCTCCCAAAATTCCCAGGCGGAGGAATTCTGGGAGTTGAAGTCCACACATTTTAAAGTTGCCAAGTTTGAGAAACACTGATCTAGACCAAGTTCAGTCATGGAGCTCCTCTCTCTCAGCCTAGCCATCCTACTTGGCCGCATTAAGTTGTCCCATTCTGCACCGAGATGGCTATCCATCCTCTGTCTGAATCCATTCAATAAAGGGAAGTCTGTTCCATGTCTGGGGATATGGTTCTCTTATCCAAAAGATCTTACTTCTCCAGTTCCACAGCTCCCAATCTTCTCTATATCTGTTGCATTTTTCCCCCAGTATCTTTCAAAAAACGCAGTGTCCAGAATTGGACAAATACTCAAGACGGGAGCCAACAAATGCCGAATAAAGTAGAGTTAATACATCTTACAAGCATATATTTATTATTACAGTCTAAAACCGACATTTTTTTGCAGCCGGGTTACATTCCTGATTCACATTCAGCCCTCGATCAAATGCCCTTGTAACGTTCTATTTGCGCATAACTAGCGTCCAGCTGTAGTTGTGGGTTTGACTTCTTTCTCCAAGTGAAGATGTTTGCATTTGTGTCTCTCAGGTTTCACTTTGCTGTTTTCAGGACATTTCCCTAACCTCTTCAGATCCTTTGGAGTTTTGTTTTTGTTTTTTCCAATTATGGGTTGGGATCCCCAGAGGATCACGAGAAGCTTTGCGCAGTTTGAGTGGGAACACTGGCCTAACTCACTCCAAGATTTGATTCTCAAACAAGTTGTGGTACCAGAAAGTCTTGTGTTCACATGACCACAAGAATTCTCGGGGTTTCTGGCTTGGGCTAACCCATGTTCTCCTCCTTTTTGTTCTTGCAGATTTATCCTGGTCTTCAGCTGTCTGATTTTATCTGTGTTTTCAACTATTCCCGAGCATCACACATTTGCCAATGAGTATCTCTTCATCCTGGTAAGGGACAGCTCCTCCTTCTTTCTTCAGCAACCTTCTGAGATTTTTCTCCTTATGTTGTTTGGTTAAAGCCATACTCAGTCATCTGAGGCTCCACATGTTCTGAGAAACCAGCCATTGTCTCAGCCTGCTGGTTGAATGGCGGTTCTTTGAGCATTGCCTGGGAAGTGACTCATGCGCATTTTGCTTTAGTAACTGAGCTTTACAGTTTAGTGCAGGGGTGGGTGTCAAACTCAATTTCATTGAGGGCTGCATCAGCATTGCGGTTGCCCTCAGGGGGCCGAGTGGGTGTGGCCGGGGTGGGTGCAGCCTACTGGGTGGGCGTGGATGGAGTATGTGTGGCCTACTGGGTGGGCATGGCCAGCTCTACATCGTTCGCGTCAAGGGTGCCTGTGGGGGCCTGGGCATGATTGGGGTAGATCTGAGGGTCTCTGGCAGAAGGGGGGGGACCGGGGCAAGCGCCAAGGCATGGTCTACTGGAGGAGCCTCACTGTTCCTCTCAGACCATGCAGAGGGGGGAGGCTTATGGAGCTAAGACTGAATGTGTTTCAGCATAGATGGCCACCACAAAATTGTACATTGGCCCCCGGCCGGCCTGGGCCAGGGCCAAGGCAGCGGCGGCCGTTCCCTCACTGTTTCCAGGATGGCTTCGTGGGCCACATGAAACCACTTCACGGGCCGCATCCAGCCCCCGGGCCTTGTGTTTGACACGTCTGGTTTAGTGCATTGTGAACCCAACTTCTCTGTAGAAACATATGGGGGAGAGAAGTTCTTATAGTCATTGCTTTTGATTGCTACAGAAGGGATGAGATTGGGCAAGTTTCTCAACTTCGGCTGCTTTAAAATGTATGGATTTCTTTACTCCCGGAATTCCCCAGCATATAAATATGTAGTATTTATTTATTTAGCTGGACTGGCTCTGTTGAGCTAACACGACAGTAAAAACAGTCAATAAAAAGGACCATTAAAAATTTAAAAAGCCCAGACATACCATCTGCTTGTCAAGCCCTATCATAGCCTCTTCCAAGATGGGTGCATTTAGCATCCTAGCCTGGATGCCTGAGGGAAAAACAGGTTTTTAATGCTGTATAAAAAGCCAGCAGGGCTAGGACAAAATGAACCTCTGGAGACTAGAGGTATCAGTTGCAAATCATTCAGTTTCAAATAACCTGTCAGCCCTCTCAGGTAAACAAGACAGGAAACGGACACAATGAGCTAATTCAGTGTTATCGTAAGGCTACATTAGCAGAATCTTACAAGTCTGAAAGCACACATCTCCTGCCATCTCTTTCACAGCCAGAGAAATTAGCTGTTAGGATACAGGAAGATCTGGACAGACTTGAACACTGGGCGCTATCTAACAAAATGAAATTCAATGGTGAAAAAAGTAAGGTTCTACATTTAGGCAAGAAAAACCAAATGTACGGGTATAGTATAGGGGGTACCTTGCTCAATAGTAGTAACTGTGAGAGGGATCTTGGAGTCCTAGTGGACAATCACCTAAATATGAGCCAGCCGTGTGCTGCAGCTGCCAAAAAAGCCAACACAGTGCTAGGCTGCATTAACAGAGGGATAGAATCAAGATCACGTAAAGTGTTAATGCCACTTTAAAATGACTTGGTAAGGCCACACTTGGAATACTGCATCCAGTTTTGGTCACCACGATATAAAAAAGATGTTGAGACTCTAGAAAGAGTGCAGAGAAGAGCAACAAAGATGATCAGGGGACTGGAGGCTAAAACATATAAGGAACGGTTGCTGGAATTGGTTATGTCTAGTTTAACGAAGAGAAGGATGAGGGGGACATGATAGCAGTGTTCCAGTATCTCAGGGGCTGCCCCAAAGAAGAGGGAGTCAAGCTATTCTCCAAAGCGCCTGAAGGCAGGACAAGAAGCAACGGATGGAAACTAACCAAGGAGAGAAGCAACCTAGAACTAAGGAGAAACTTCCTGACAGTTAGAACAATTAACCAGTGGAACAACCTGCCTCCAGAAGTGGTGAATGCTCCAACACTGGAAGTTTTTAAGAAGAAACTTGAGTTTCAACTTCAGGATCTGGCCTTCTAAAGAGCAGTCGGGGTTGATCTCCCCTAGGACTGACCGGTTTGATCGCCTTGCAGTCCAGGGGGCCTCGCAGGAGTCTTCTTCAGCACCATAGTTCAAAGGCCTCCATACTTTGGCGCTCAGCCTTTCTTATGGTTCAACTTTCACATCCATACATTGCAACTGGGAAAACCATGGCCTTGACTATACGCACTTTTGTTGGCAGGGTGATGTCTCTGCTTTTTAGTATGCGGTCTAGATTTGCCTAGTGCATTGAATTTTGATCACGTAACCGCAGGGATGCTGAGATGATTACAACTCTGGGAACTGGTCATAATTCATTTTTTCCTCCCAATGCCGTCATAACTTCAAATGCTCACTGAAGAAATGGTCGTAAGTCAAGGACTACCAGTACAGCATTTGGGAAGGACGAGGTAACCCTTTTCCGCTCCAGTGCAGCCACCCCCCCTTTGCTATTAGCCCTAAAAAGGAAATCTCCCATTGACACTAATGAAAGGTTATGGCTGGGATTAATAGCTGTGTGTGGGAGAAAGTTAAAAGGGAGAGACTGATTTGGCAAGACTGGGGGGGGGGGAAGGAAACCTCTGTCCTCACGGTAGGCGTGTCGCAGCCCCTAGCAGAAAAGGCATACTTTGTGGCAGAAGGAGAGGGATATAACTGTTTATTAGATCCTTTAATTATTGATTTATTTCTCTAGTATCAAAGGGATGCCTGGCGTGTTTGTCAGAAAGCAGCAGTTTAAGGGGCACGCTCCAATTGACCTATTAAAGACAGTGAGAGTTTGAGTTTGGGCTTGTTTGCAGATGGATTTAAGAAGCTGCTGCAGAAATGAGAATTTTAAAGCCCCTGCAAGGCAAGGCAGCAAGGGCAATGAGGTGGTACTGATTGGGGAAGGAGAACTCCTCAGAGAGGAGTTGGATGATGAAGCTGGAAAAGTGAACATAATTGTCGGGGAGGTGCCAGGAAAAACAGAGAGATGGATGAAGGGACCGGTCTGCAATTAAGGGACAAGGAACTGCCAAGCAGGGAGAGGAAGGACACCAGATGGACCTGACAGGGTTAGAAAGTGAAGAGGCCAGAAAGGAGACAAGGGATGATCAACGAAGACATGAGTCAGAGTTCAACAATAAATAAATAATAATAATCCTCGCAGCATTCAGAAACCCTCAGTGAAGCCTTCCCTGTTGGAAATGGGACGATCTCTTACTATGTCTTGGGAAGGGAAGAAGGACAGTCCCGTTTCATAGAAGGGACAGGCTGGAAGAAGAAAGACAAATAGTTTGAATGTTTCAGCCATCAGCACAACTTGCTTGTTTTCATCTGCACAGGGGAAAAAAAACAAGTGACAGTTGGAAGGAAGGAAGGAAGGAAGGAAGGAAAGAAAGAAGGAAAGAAGGAAGGAAGGAAGGAAGGAAGGAAGGAAGGAAGGAAGGAAGGAAGGAAGGAAGGAAGGAAGGAAGGAAAGAAGGAGGAAGGCAAATCTCAGAAAGAAAGATATCTCTCTTTTTTAGCAACTTTCCCCCAAACTCTCAAAAAGAGCTGACGCTGGTTTTCTTCTAACTGAGATGAAAACTAAATTAAGAAGGTCCGTGTGACTTTCCCATAGTAAGCAAAATAGGTACCTGTTTGTACAAAAATAGAGAGGGAGGTGACAAGGAGGCCACAGCTGACACTGCAGGAAAACAGGCCTTTTCTGATTCATGCAAAGAGGGCTGCAGCGAGACCAGTTGGGGGGCAAGACCGCAGGTCCAGTTTTTTGTTTTTCCCATTGGACCAGGAATGATGGACATTTGTGCCAGAGCCCGCCATCCAGGAGAAAAGCCAGTGGTGGAGCCCTTACTTTGAATGCAGCTTCAGGTAGGCCTGGGAAGATGGCGCCATCTATCTATATATAAATAAAAATGTAAATGTTCGTTTGTTCAAAATCTTAAATCTCCGAAAGTTCTTCACCGATTGCTTTGAAATTTTAACACAACGTTGCATTTGAATACGCGCGTGTTTTTATATACCTATATTATATAGATGTCACACCTGTGACAGGTAAAAACATGCTTTTTTTGAAAAACAGCGCCATCTGTTGGACGTAAAAGCAACACACGCAACGATTTTACCATTCCATTTCAATGTTTCCGATTTACGATCCATTTACGATTTCCAAATTTCCAATTTTACGATTCCATTTCAATGTTTCCGATTGCATTGTTAAATTGAATTTTCATAGATTTCGATTTATTTTCATTTTGATTGAATTATTTCGTGTGACATTGCGTTGGAATTGATGCACAGACAATGGAACAACAAAAAATATTGTATACCCACAAGCATTGTGAAATTAAACCTATTAGAAATGTGCACTTTCTCTTTTTTCTTTCTTTTCCATTTAACCAGACTGAGCCACAGCAACGCGTGGCCGGGTACAGCTAGTTAAGAATAAAAATAATAAGACGCATCTGCTGTTCAAAATAATCAGATGATGCATATACAGAAATAATCAAATAATAATCAAATCGTAGCGTTAACCTGTGACAAAGAACTGAGGAATAAATAGAAAAACATTAAGAGAAGAGAAACTCTTGATCCTGGAAAGACATAAAAAAAAGGATGCCAGACTAGCCCAAGAGATGGAAGATTGCAGAATCAGTTTCTGGATTTAGTGCATCAATTTAATGCTGTCATCAAAAGGATTGATTGATTGACCCTCATTTAGAATCCACCTCCCATCATCTTTAAACACAGACTGTATTAGCTAACCAGATAAGAAGGAGAACTCAGAAACAAGAGAGTTGATCCCTCAGGTAGTTGATCCCTCAGGATTCTCCTTCAACTCTGTTGACTTCTCCTGTTCCCACCACCCCACTTCTCTCCAATGTTCTCTTCCCCACCTTATATGGTCACTTTATATCTTATCGGACCTGAATTATCCATCCTTTGTAGCCTCCCATTTACCCCAGTTTACTTGAGTAATTCAAGGCAGGGCAAAAACCTCATAATCGGCCGACCAGTTGGTATTAGCCCCAGGCAACTTCTGAAAAGGCCACGTCAGGAATTATTGTTCCCCAGGGAACGTGGCACCCATGGAGGCCTTTGCATGCCAAGTTTTCTCCCGACGTGTCCCCAAAATGTCTGTTCAAAAGTGAATTTGCAGTAGCAGCATGAAATGCCACCCTTTGCTCCATAGACGTCTTTGCTGAGGTCCTGCCTTTGTGTAGGGAGGATCAATGAGTTGCAACGAGCACATTTATATTTAGCAAACAGCTCCCTATGCTATCCTGCCCTTTTGGAGTCCTCGTTTCTGATTGCGGCCTCTATGCGGTCTGGTCAAAATGCTGGGTCATTAACACCACGGTTGCAACTATAAAAAAGAAGAAGAGAGAGGGAAAGAGTTCCTTGATAAGAAGAACAGAAGTAGAGTTTTATCTGACCTTTCCTGTGACAAGTTTTTCCAAGTCAGCGGAAATTCAGATTGCTGAATGCCTTTGGAAAACGGGCAAACGAGTTGTGAAATTCACAGGTTTTCCTTGTGGTTTATTCGACCCGGCCTTTAATATTCCAAGGTAGAATATCTTTCCCCTTTATCTTTTTAGTTTGTTTTATTTGCCACCTTTAAAATACAGAAAATATTTCCAAAAGGAAAAGAAAGAAGAGAATGCGCAGACAGATGTGGAGGGACGAGGAGAAAACTTAAAAAGGAAACGGCAAAAACATCATGTTGGGTATGGGAAATGATTCTGCCTAATGTTTCAAGACACGCTTAAACCTTGAGCACACCGAACAATATTGATTCGTCTTTGTGCTACATCAATAAGAGTCAGTTTGTAAACAAAAAGCGACCCTGTTATTAGCCATCCTGGATATTAAATCTGAGCTCAAGCTGTCATCCCGACATTGAACAGTGAGCCCCACTGCTGCCCCCAATTAAATGCTCAAGTCTTCATACAGTGATACATCCATAAGTCTTCCCCTCGCAATTTGAAAGTGTGCCCACATCTTTAAAGGTATTGATCTTTTTTTGACCAACTGAACTCACTGATGGATTTTGAATCGAAACAGGGCAATGTTGGGACAGACCCATCTCCTATGAGTAAGTCTTCTGTCAGCCATTTTACACTTTTCAGTAATGAGGAGGTTGCGCAATGGGATGACTTTGGGAGACAGGAGAAAGAGTCACAGACTGGACAACTTGCATGTGTAATGTATCTTAGTCCACAAAAGGAGGGAGGACACCGGAAGCCTTTTGGAAGGGACTCTCTCTATTTTTCCAGAGAGTAAAAGGAAAGGATGAGAGAAATGTGTTCAGTCTCTTGTTGTAACTCTAAAGTAAAGACAGGGCTAGGGATCTTTGTGGTGCTTCTTGTCCGGACTGCCTCAAAGGGCCAACAGGTCGACAGCCAGGCCTTTAAAAAGTTCTCATGAGGATAATGTGGGGGAAAAAAATCTTTTGTTTGAATTATTCTCTTATGATCATAAGAAACATTCTGAATATTCTATAACAGTATTTGCCACTGGTTTGTTAATACGGGACAGTCCAGTTCTTTATTCCAGAATTCTTGCAAATAATCTCTTAGTAATATTTTTTATATATTAAAATATACTGCTGATTGAAGAAACTATCTACCATCTATCTATCTCCCCCCACACATTCTTTCATCTATCTGTCTGTCTGTCTGTCTACCTACCTACCTACCCTCCCACCCACCCAATTCTTTCTATCTATCTATCTATCTATCTATCTATCTATCTATCTATCTATCTATCTATCTATCTATCTATCTCTATCCATCCATCCATCCATCCATCTACCTACCTACCTACCTACCTACCTACCTACCCACCCAATTCCATCCATCCATCCATCCATCTATCTACCTATCTACCAACCTACCTATCTACCTATCTACCTATCTACCTATCTACCTATCTACCTATCTACCTATCTACCTATCTACCTATCTACCTATCTACATGCTGTTCCTGCTGCACAGTTCTTGTTCTAAAGTCCTTCAAGTAAGTTGGGGTTTCTGTGACCACTCTTTCTGCCTGCCCTCCGTGCATAAAACCTCACATTGGATTTTTCTGCCCTTCTTTTCTCCTTGTAGGAATTTGTCATGATTGTTGTTTTTGGAGTGGAATACATTGTCCGTGTCTGGTCGGCGGGCTGCTGCTGTCGTTATCGAGGATGGCAAGGTCGCTTCCGGTTTGCCCGCAAACCTTTTTGTGTCATCGGTAAGCATCTGATGGGGATGGGGAGGCACGTCAGAAGGATTCTTGTTGCGCCCCATCATTATTGGGGGGAAGAGGAGGAACGAGAATGGAAAAAGTTCCATTATCCTGTACTCCAGACAGCTGTGACATCTATCATTTGTAGTTGTAGATTCATATTGGTTACATTCACACAACACATGGAGTTGTCCTATTTTCTGGATATGTTCAATGCATTGAACCATATATTGATAAACACAACCCCTAAACAGAAACTACAGCTTGATGCTTACTCTAGATACTTAGCATGATGACTTCCAGGTACGTAAGATGACCTCTAGACCAGTGGTTCTCAACCTGTGGGTCGGGACCCCATTTGGGGTCGATCGACCATTTCACCGGGGTCGCCAAGCAAGGCTGTCCGCCATTTTTTTTGTCCGCCATTTTTTCCCCTTTTCCGGCGGGTGCCTTACCTCCCTTGGGCTGGGCCAGCTGGTGGTCGGCCTGCTCCGTCTCTGCCACTTGCCAGCTATGCCTCGGCCGGCACAGGGGGTGGAACCACACATGCGCGGCACTCCCAGACAGGGAAAGTCCTCGACTTACGACCGGTTTAGTCCTCGACTTACGACCAGTTTAGTCCTCGACTTACGACCGGTTGGGGGTCGCAGCATTAAAAAGGTTGAGAACCACTGCTCTAGACCGATGATTTCAAAGTTTGTAAGATTTCAATTCCAGTCATTTGAAAAAGTTGCTTGTGTTTAAATTCAGCAACACCAAGAAAGCCCATCTGCAGACTTTCTTGTCTGCCCACCAGATATATAAGCTATATCACTTAATTCTCCCTCACTCAAAGTCATCTGAACTATGCAGTTCATGGAGTTTATATAACCTCAAGCAGGCATCTGGCAAGGGTTCCCTTTTTCCATTTGAGTAACAGATGAAAGCACTTGGGCAACTTGGTCTGCATAGGAACTAAATGGGGTTGGATCTATTTAGGACTTGGCTAGGACAGGACCAGGGAATATTACGGTTGAAGGCTAGGCAAAGATGTTGAGAAAAACTTGCTGGAAGACAGCAATGGAAAACCACTTCTGTATTGTCACCAAAAACACTGACATAGCTTATCCATGAATCTTCCAGGAAGATGTGCTTGAAGGTGAATTGACTAGGTTACCAGGATGAAATACCACGTTCTCTTTAAATCAGAGAAAGTAGGTGGGACAGGATTGGTAGCAGGATATTCTTGGGGCCAAGATGGGAAGACACCTTTGGCCCATTGTTGTGGTCATCAGAAAAGTCTAGATGCCAGAAACACACCTGGTCCTCTAAGATCAAGTGAATTATCTTCTTCTCAAGCCTGGGACAAACCTGGGCTTGTCTTTCTGATAGGTGCATAATTGTTAAGAAAAGGCTTAATTATTTCTACCCAGCCATTGACAAGATTTTAAAAGACTGGATGTTTTTGTTGTGCAAAAAACCTTGATGTAATCTCAGATAGCTCTACTCTGTGATATAGTTGTAGAGATGGTGCCTTTCATCTCCCAGCTGCCATTTTTCCCTCTCCTGATCAACCATGGTTCTCTGGATACCCAGAGGCTATTTCAGACCACAGTTGTTTTTGACTATTGACTTTGAACCCTTGACTGACACTTTAAGTCCCCCCAGCTAATATATATTTTAAGGTTCCCTAGGGATTTGAGAAATAAGGAACGGTTGCTGGAATTGGGTATGTCTAGTTTAACGAAGAGAAGGACGAGGGGGGACATGATAGCAGTGTTCCAGTAACTCAGGGGCTGCCCCAAAGAAGAGGGAGTCAAGCTCTTCTCCAAAGCGCCTGAAGGCAGGACAAGAAGCAACGGGTGGAAACTGATCAAGGAGAGAAGCAACCTAGAACTAAGGAGAAACTTCCTGACAGTTAGAACAATTAACCAGTGGAACAACCTGCCTCCAGAAGCGGTGAATGCTCCAACACTGGAAGTTTTTAAGAAGAAACTGGACAGCCATTTGTCCGAAATGGTATAGGGTTACCTGCCTGAGCCAGGGGGTTGGACTTGATGACCTCCAAGGTCCCTTCCAACTTTATTATTATTATTATTATTAAATAGCCAAATGGCACAGAAGAGCAACCTCGTATTTTGGAGAACATCATATATTTCATCTGATTTTGTAATTCAAAGGCATGTTTTTCTCCACTCCCATAGGGGGATAACAAGTCTAAAGGGGTGCTTGATCCAAGGGTGACTTTTAGTTCTTCTTTGAAGTTGGTTTCTTTGCTTTGCACCCGAGGAACTGATGTCTGTGCAATGCACCCATCAAGCTACTGCTTGGACCACAGGTCGTAAGTTGCCTTCTCTTTCCTTTCTCTTCCTGTGCTTCAGATTTCATCGTCTTTATTGCTTCTCTGGCCGTCATTGCAGCTGGCACCCAGGGGAACATCTTTGCTACCTCGGCCCTACGCAGCATGCGCTTCCTGCAGATCTTACGCATGGTGCGCATGGACCGCCGTGGCGGTACTTGGAAGCTTCTTGGCTCAGTGGTCTATGCCCATAGCAAGGTGAGTCCCTGGAGGCAGGTCAGCCCAAGCGAAGCCCAGGAATCTGCTCTCAGAGATGGGAATAAAGACACCTGCTTTTTTCTTCTGTTTCCATTTTGGGAGAGGGAATTGCAGGAGTAACCGAATACACATTATGAAAGAGCAGGAGAAAAAAAGATTTCAACCTCTGCATGCATATGGACCCAGATTCTCCTTGGTTGTAGAAGCTGACCTTTGTAGAATAGAATAGAATAGAATAGAATAGAATAGAATAGAATAGAATAGAATAGAATAGAATAGAATAGAATAGAATTGAATTAGATTTAGATTTAGATTTAGATTTAGATTTAGATTTAGAATTAGAATTAGAATTAGAATTAGAATTAGAATTAGAATTAGAATTAGAATAGATATTGGAATATAGAATAGGATAGAATAGAATAGAACAGAATAAGAATAAGAATAGAATAGAATAGAATAGAATAGAATAGAATAGAATAGAATAGAATAGAATAGAATAGAATAGAATAGAATTAAAATAGATATTGGAATATAGAATAGGATAGAATAGAATAGAATTAGAATAGAATAGAACAGAACAGAACAGAATAAGAATAGAATATAATTAGAACAGAACAGAATAGAATAGAATAGAAACTTTTTTGTCCCTTTGAATGTTCACTAATCGGCATACATTAAAATGAAATTTTGTTGCCTACAGCTCTGAAAGAGTCACCACCTCTGATATACCCTTCATAAACATGACAAAAATAAATAAATAAATACCAAATTATACATATACCCGTATATAATATACAACACAGAGAAACAACACAATCCAGTTCAGATTAAGTATCCACGTGCATGGCGAGAGAAACGAATCTTGCGAGTTTACCAGACGGATGGCAGAGGGAGCAAAGCTATTACAGTGTAGTCCTTGTCAGAACCAGATTGCTTTTTCTGTGCAGTGATGTGACTTAATTTGCTCCACCCGGGTCCCGATTTTGCAAGACAGCACCAAGTTCCTGAGAGGAAATTGTTGAAATTTCCTGGAGGTATCTCTAACAAGTCCCTGCCTCCTTCTAAGAAAGCAGCTTTCAATTTAACTCTCTTCCCCAACTATCCCCATCCCCATCCCAATGCTGTGTGGTGGAAAATATTCAGGGGTTCCCTGGGACCAAGAAAAGATGGGCAGGCAGTTATTGCGGCACCTTGAGAAAGCGCAACTGGAAAACCTGGAGCGAACAGGGATTGTGCAAGTGTTGCGCAGCTCTGAAAGGCTTTCTCCGTAAGTGTGGCATTCTCTACAACAGTGGTTCTCAACCTTTTTAATGCCGCGACCCCAACTGGTCGTAAGTCGAGGACTAAACCGGTCGTAAGTCGAGGACTAAACCGGTCGTAAGTCGAGGACTAAACCGGTCGTAAGTCAAGGACTACCCAATCAGTCGTAAGTCGAGGACTTTCCCTGCCCGGGAGCGCCGCGCATGCGTGGTTCCGCCCCTGCGCCGGCCGAGGCGTAGCTGGCAAGCGGCAGAGACGGAGCAGGCCGACCACAAGCTGGCCCAGCCCAAGGGAGGTAAGGCATCCGCCGGAAAAGGGGGAAAAAATGGCGGACAGCCTTGCTTGGCGACCCCCGTGAAATGGTCGATCGACCCCAAATGGGGTTGCGACCCATAGGTTGAGAACCGCTGCTCTACAAAGTGGAAGCAATTAGAAAGGGACAGATGAAAGTATAGTGAGTAACATTACATCACGCTAGGGAAACCTCGCAATTCTCAAATGCCCCAGGGAATCAGCAGGTGTGTGCGCGTGTGTTGGTGTTGGTGTGTGTCTCTGTGGTAATACAAGAAAGTTCCATGATTCAGGCAGATGGTGCTTTTTTTTTCTTCTGCTAAAGTGACCTTTCTTGGCATTTTATTTAGCCCCGTGTCATCAATCCCGTATTACCATGAGGGATGAAAGGGGTCCATCAGTTGGCGTTCATGTCCAATTCCCAACTTTGCCTAGCTGTCCAATCACCCTGTCACTTCTACTTGCACCCTATCTACCTGCAAATGCACGCACAAGCCGGGTGCTTTCCCACAGTGTAGGAAAGTAGAGACTAAATGGGGTTTATTAGCTCCCTTGTCCCCTCAGCTTTCAGGTATGCAGACCGAACCTAAATGAAGCTTTTGCCTTCTCCTTAGCTATTCCAGTAGGCCAGGCTGGTGGAGAGTTGAAACTGGTCAACAGGACCAGAAACATTCAAATCCATCCACAGCTTGGAAGAGTAACCTTCCTTACAGGGGTGATGCCATTGGATAACATTGGAAGAAGGAGAACTATATATTCTGTTTTGGTGCGATAACAGTCGTTAGTTAGGTTTCTGTCTTCTCTCTTTGGTTTTGTTTGCTGAAAACTATTTTTTCTCTGGTGGGTTCCGGCAGGAGCTGATCACAGCATGGTACATTGGGTTCCTTGTCCTTATCTTTTCCTCCTTCCTGGTTTACCTGGTGGAAAAAGATGCCAATGATGATTTTCTCACCTATGCAGACTCCCTGTGGTGGGGTACGGTAAGTGTCAACGCTGCAAATACTGTATATTCTTGCTTTGACAATATGCAGAACTGTCTGGCATTTTTATAGTTAAACCAGGCAACAGAGAAAAGGGAGGAGAATAAGGATAGCCCGGGAAAAAGAAACCGGAAGTAAATCACATCTTCCAAGCTGATTGGAAGATGTGAACCATGACTCCAAAAGGGGGGGGGAATGCTTGGAATGTATATGCGTAATGGAAGAGAAGCCAGACCTAAGCATTTCCACCATGCTGTACTGACATCTCTGTAACCTTAATAAATGCTTTTAGGAGAAAATATGCCTGAAAGTCCTTTTAAGTGTTTTGTTAATCAGATACATGACAGTAAGTGTGCCTCCCCTTTTTTTAAAAAAACAAACAAACCTGTCCCCCCCCTTTTTTTTTTTGCTAAGCAAGAGGAAGAACTGAAAACCTAAGAACAAACTGACATGGGAATGAATAATAGAAAGCCACCAAAACATCAGGATTGGCATAGGATTGATTCAGGGCTATCCAGATATCCTGTATGAACTGGATATCTGTGTCCCTATTTGGGACCTCCAGCTGTGTTGGAACTGGAACTCCTGGAGATGCCTCCAATGCTAAGTTGGTATCCCAACTCACCAGTAGAACATCAAGTTGGGGATGGCTGATCTTCAAGATATGGACACGTGATAGGTAGCTACACTGGGAAACAAGCTGTGTAAACTGAAAGGTTGTAACCCAACCAGCAACTAGTACTGTCGTTACCTAACAGGAAGAGATACAGTATATCTCCTTTGTAAAATAGTTTTCTTTTTTCTGTCAAGAACCCTGTGCCATGCAGGCAATGGTGGGATTCAGCCGGTTCGCACTGGTTCGGTAGAACCGGTAGCTAAATTTTGTTGAGTTTGGAGAACCGGTTGAACCCATGCTGCTTTTGGAAGTCTGTTCTAGGCCTCGGAGGCCTGGAGGAGGTCTCCCAGGCCTAGAACGGCCTACCGGAAGTGCGTGGATGTCACTTCCGGAAGTACATTCTAGGCCTGGTGGAGGCCTCCAAGGCCTAGAACGGCCCACCAGGAGTGCGTTGATATCACTTCTGGAAGTCTGTTCTAGGCCTCGGAGGCCTGGAGGAGGCCTCCCAGGCCTAGAACGGCCTGCTGGAAGTGCGTGAATGTCACTTCCGGAAGTCCGTTCTAGGCCTCGGAGGCCCAGGCCTGCATCCACGCAGAGAACCAGATGTTAAGGTATTTGAATCCCACCATTGCATACAGGTATATTTTTTATTCAGATAAATCAATTGGGACAGGAATCAGGAGCAGTGGATTTTGCTGTTGGCCTAGAGGGATGGAAGATGCCAGGAAAGAAATGGTCACGGTATCAACCAATCAATAATATTTATTTGGACACTGACCAGCAAAAGTTAAAAAGAACAAAAACATGCAATAGTATACTAAGTAGCAGAATGAATCACAAAATATAGCATTTACTCACTCCTCTATTACTATGTTAGTACAGTTGTTACCTGGGTGATAAATCGAAAACATTCATAAGTATAAAATAAAAATAAAAACTATATATCCCCTATAATTTATTAGTTGTCCTGAACCCAAGGTAATATTTAAAACAAAGATGAATATGTCTTTAACCAGTTATATCTTGCTTTCATTGCAGCAACACCAAATTTAGCTACTGCACCTGTAATGAAGCCTGAAGGAGAAGGTTCCTATAAAATTTATCTGGCATCTCCTTCTGTGATTTCAGATCACACTCACCACTATCGGCTATGGGGACAAGGTTCCAAAAACATGGCTGGGCCGGGTGCTGACAGCCTGCTTCGCCTTGCTGGGAATCTCCTTCTTTGCCCTTCCTGCGGTGAGTCCCCCAGGAAAAACAAGACCCCTAGACTCCTTAGGGAACTAGTATTCTCCTAGGCCAGACTCAGGGCAGGAGATTGGCTGTGAATTGTGACAGAGAACATGGGCCTCTAGATGCAAGTTCTCATTCAACCATGGAATCTCACTAGGTAATTTCTGGTCCATCTGTCAGGTGCAAGAAACCAGAATAATTTCCTGAATTAAGCCAAAGCAGTTTCTTTATTGTTGATCACCCATATTAAAAGAATCTGGTCAGACTGGCTACATTCCCTTGGGAACCAGTAGATAAGGCTTCATTATTAGACCGATCTAGGATGTTTCCTCCAAGAGAGCAACTCTATGTAACATGCTTCTTTATGCAGGGCTCTCCTTTAGTTAGTAATTCCACCACCCCATCAGTCTCAGTTACAATCCACTCACAAAGGTGGTTTGGGGATAAAAATGAGCTATGATCTGACTCACACAATCCTGAGCTGGTCAGAGAAAAGTAGAAAGGTTCTCCTGAATGCCTGACTACATGAATGCATGTGTGTAATGGTCTGTCTCCTTAATCTCTTTCTGGGATATTTTAAAAACTTTTTAATATCCTTGGGGTTTTCAAGAATTCTGCCATTCAAGTAGTAACCAAGTTAGACCCAACTTAGCTTTTTTTTTAGATCAGCCTAAAATAGTTTTCTCAACAATGTCCAGTTCTTGGAGATTGCCTGGACAAGTCCCTGCAATTATCTTGGCAAGGTTTTTTTTTTAAAAATGGTTTGCCCTTGTCTCTTTCCAAGGGTTGAGAGAAAGTGACTGGCCCAAGGTCACCCAACTGGTTTTGTGTATAAGGCAGGCCTAGAACTCCCAGTCTCCCAGTTTCTAGCCTGGTGCTTCATTATGGTACCAAAGTGGCTCTCTCCAAGCTAGCTAGCTGCTGATAATTATCTGTAGTTTCTGTCTTTTTTCACAAAAAGGAGGAGAAAAAGAATTGCATAGTTATGGGCTTGTTGTCCCTATGAGCTGGCTGTCCGGAAGGTCTTTAAGCCGCTGAGAAGATGCTGAAATATTGGGACTCTCTTCGGCTTAGACATTTGGCCTCTCACCATCCTAGATAGTTGGCTTTTCCCTCAACAAATAGTACAACTTCTCCAATTTCTTAGACCTTCCTTTTAGTTCAGTGTTTCTCAACCTTGACAATTTTAAGGCATGTGGACTTCAACTCCCAGAATTCCACAGCCAGCAATGCTGGCTGTGGAATTCTGGAAGTTGAAGTCCACATGCCTTAAAATTGTCAAGGTTGAGAAACACTGTATTTAGTTGGAACTGAAGTGCTGTTCTGAAGAGTCCTGATGCTGTTTGTCTTTTCACACAGGGAATTCTAGGCTCAGGATTTGCTCTCAAAGTCCAAGAGCAACATCGACAAAAGCATTTTGAGAAGAGAAGGACACCTGCAGCAAATTTGATCCAGGTGAGTAAAAAAAAGGAACCTCCTGGATTTTTTTCTTTTTCTTCTCCTCCCGCCTTCCCTGCTTAAAGAATGTGACCAATGCTAGAAGCCAAGGAATGTCCGAATAAGTTTCTTTCCTCAAGCAATTGCAAGTTTGTGTTTTGTGGCTCCATTCCATAACTGCCAGATAATATTAACAAACTCATGCGTATTTGTGAAAAGCACAGCCTTGGACCCTTTGAAGTACTGCAGATATAGTGATGTGCCTACACACGCATGTCTGAATGTGGTGGCTGGACCTTCTATCTCTCTCTATCACAGTGTTTTTCAACCTGATAACTTGTAAGATGTGTGGATTTCAATTCCCAGAATTCTCCATGTAGTATGTCTGACTGGGGAATTCTGGTACCTGCAGTCTACATGTCTTCAAGTTGTCCAGGTTGAGAAACACTGCATAGCAAGTATCCCTAAGGTTTTCCTCAATGTGCCTTGTTTCACTTTCCTACATTCCTGGACTTATGAAGTACACTGTCCCAATCCTCTTTATCTGAATGACAAAATTCTTTTTTTCAGAGAAGAGAATTGGCAAAACTCCTTTCTTCTCTTAGCAGTTCAGTTGGCAGTTGGCACATGCCAGAGGCAAGTGGCTCTCTCTATTACGTGGACCGAGAGGTTTAGGTTTGATTGACAGGTCAGATTTACATTTTCCTGTAGCTCTTTCATTCCTGAACTTCTTACTTGGGATAGGACTACAGCTAAGGACAATTTAAGGTGTTCTCACTGCAAGGTTGGGTATGGGGGTAAAAGCAGCATCTGTAGTTAAGCTGGATAAAGGTGATGGCTTCTGACTTTTTTTCAGGGCAGTAGAATAAAAAGATCTATTACAATGGGAATAAAAGGACAGGTACTTTACACATAAAAATGTGCCATAAATAAAAAAGTACACTAAAACATAATCTATTGCTATTAAGGTAAATCATAAAATCCAATAAAATTGAATAAAACTGTTGGGTTTTATTTATTATTTCTTTCCACCCACCTTTATTATTTTTACAAATAACTCAAGGCGACAGGCATATCCAATGGACCTCTTCCTCCTAATTTTTGTTCCCGAAATCTCATTACTTTATCTGAGATGTTTTTTTCTAATGTGGCAATTGAAGAGGCATTGCTAATCCACAACTCAATCATTATCTGGAGTTTTCCAATGTTGTGTAATTATTGTTTTGGCTGCTGCGAAAAATTCAAGAGATAATAAGTTCTTTATTTTTAAGTGTATGGTTTTGTCTTGTAACAAAGTCTAATAAGCCTAACTCTGGAGAGCGTTCAATTCTTTGCTTAGTGATGAAATTTATCTCTGCAAAAAAAAAATCATCAAGGAGATATCACATGACCATCACAAATTAAAAAAAAATACTGGGTTGGTTTTTTTTTTGACAACCTTTCCAAGCATTTGCAAGAATAATTGCAAAGCGTACTGTTCTACTGCTGAGCAAGTAAATTTTCTAAAAAATCCTTGGAAGTCTTCATGACCCCCTGCCTTCCTCCAAACGTAGCTGAGACTCTGAGTTAGCAGTTTGCTTCTTCTTCTTCTTTCTTTAAATAAAAAAACATTTTTATTAAGAGAACATTTTATGTAAGATTTAGAAAGCTATGGAAACATAAAAAAGAAAGTAGGAAAAAAAAAGAAAGATATAAAAGAACAAGGGACAATAACCAAAGAAAAAGAAAGATAACTAAAGAAGTGACTTCTAATCTTCTTTGCAACCGTTACAAAATTGCGCATCGTGGTTCTCTTCCCCCCCACAAACAAACGTTTTCATCAATAAATCCCAAAGTCGCCAATTCATTTTTGTCCAGTTTCAGCAGAAAAAGTCCACAAAGGGTTTCCAGTTGTCTCTAAAAGTAACTGTTGTTCCCTCCTTAGTCAAACAAGCCAATTTTGCTTTTTCTATTAGCTCTGCCACCTTCACAATCCATTGTTCCATTATGGGCACTTCCGTATTCTTCTATCTTTGAGTTGTGCTTTGTGCAGTTCAGGGTAGATATAACACACACACACACACACCAGCCCCATCCTAAGCCATGACCTCCTTTCCAGTCCAACTTCCTTCTCCAGCCACAAGCACGAGTCCAAATCTTCTTTTCTGGCATCGTTGGCCGTGCACTTTATGTTGCAGAATCACGTCTGATCCAGCAACATTCTGCCCTCCTGTCTGGATTGGTTCCTTTGCTATTGTGGTCAGAAAGATGAAGCTTCTGACACCACGTTATCTCTGTGTTCCAGAGGATCCATGCAACAAAAGGTCTCCTTCTCGCAGCCTTGCCCTGCCATTCAACTCCTGGGCTGAGAGGCCTCCAACAACAGCTGGAAATGGATGGTGGGCAAGACAAAAAGGATGCACGCAGTTGTTTTGGCACACAAAACTATCTTAGGGACACAGCTCTGGCCTCCTCTTTCCTGAATGAGGATGCTGTCCTCTTCCCATCTGATACCCCTGGTCAATTCACGCCGCCTTCTTTTCCAGAGCAGATGAAAGGTCAGGATACGCCTGCCTGAGCTTTCTCCTTGATAATTAATCTCTAATGGAGTTTCCCCCCCACCTTCTCTCACTCACCCAGAAAAGGCTCAGCAGGAACAGCTCCACGTTTGGAGCTGCTGTGATTTGAGCGTTCTTGAGAGAGAGGGAGAGAGAGAAGATCTCCAGACATCCCTAGTAATAATCCTATATGTGGAGCACCCCAAGCCCGATCATCTCCATGGCTCTTGTCTTGGCCTTTGTCCTCCAAGAGGTGTGCAATGAAAAGGAGCGAGTGTGGAGATGTTCAAAGAAATGAAGCAGGCTTTGCTGCTCTTCATGGTTGGGGAAGATGCAGGTTGTAGGGCAAAGCTTCAGGAGATGCACCAACTTTACCCATCTCGCTGATGAAACCTACTTAAAAGGGGGCATTGTATTCGAGTCCCCTGGACTGCAAGGTGATCAAACTGGTCAGTTCTAGAGGAGATCAACCCTGATTGCTCTTTAGAAGGCCAGATCCTGAAGTTGAAACTCAAATACTTTGGCCACCTAATGAGAAGGAAGGATTCACTGGAGAAGGGCCTGATGCTGGGAAAGATGGAGGGCAAGAGAAGAAGAGGACGACAGAGAGTGAGGTGGCTGGATGGAGTCACTGAACCAGGAGGCGTGATCTTAAATGGACTCCAGAAGATGGTAGAGGACAGGAAGGCCTGGAGGAACGTTGTCCATGGGGTCGCAATGGGTTGGACACGACTTCACAATAACATTCGAGTCCAACTCAGAAAATACAGTAATTGACAAGGTCAGGCGGGTGTTGTCAAACTCAAGGGAAAAAGCTTGTCTCCACTTTTGACCAGTATGGACCCTGCACCATATTTTGTGGATTTCTGACTTGGAAATATGCAACCTGGTGAATATTTCTCCCTTCATTACAGGACTTCTCCGAGCAANCTTTCCCCCCCCCCTTTTTTTTTTTTTTTTGCTAAGCAAGAGGAAGAACTGAAAACCTAAGAACAAACTGACATGGGAATGAATAATAGAAAGCCACCAAAACATCAGGATTGGCACAGGATTGATTCAGGGCTATCCAGATATCCTGTATGAACTGGATAGCTGTGTCCCTATTTGGGACCTCCAGCTGTGTTGGAACTGGAACTCCTGGAGATGCCTCCAATGCTAAGTTGGTATCCCAACTCGTCAGTAGAACATTAAGTTGGGGATGGCTGATCTTCAAGAAAAGGACATGTGATAGGTAGCTACACTGGGAAACAAACTGTAAACTGAAAGGTTGTAACCCAACCAGCAACTAGTACTGTCGTTACCTAACAGGAAGAGATACAGTATATCTCCTTTGTAAAATAGTTTTCTTTTTTCTGTCAAGAACCCTGTGCCATGCAGGCAGTGGTGGGATTCAGCCGGTTTGCACTGGTTCAGTAGAACCGGTAGCTAGATTTTGTTGAGTTCGGAGAACCGGCTGAACCCATGCTGCTTCTGGAAGTCTGTTCTAGGCCTCGGAGGCCTGGAGGAGGTCTCCCAGGCCTAGAACGGCCCACCGGAAGTGCGTGGATGTCACTTCCGGAAGTACATTCTAGGCCTGGTGGAGGCCTCCTAGGCCTAGAATGGCCCGCCAGAAGTGCGTTGATATCACTTCTGGAAGTCTGTTCTCAGCCTCGGAGGCCTGGAGGAGGCCTCCCAGGCCTAGAACGGCCTGCCAGAAGTGCGTGAATGTCACTTCCGGAAGTCCGTTCTAGGCCTCGGAGGCCCAGGCCTGCATCCATGCAGAGAACCAGATGTTAAGGTATTTGAATCCCACCATTACGTGCAGGTATATTTTTTATTCAGATAAATCAATTGGGACAGGAATCAGGAGCAGTGGATTTTGCTGTTGGCCTAGAGGGATGGAAGATGCCAGGAAAGAAATGGTCACGGTATCAACCAATCAATAATATTTATTTGGACACTGACCAGCAAAAGTTAAAAAGAACAAAAACATGCAATAGTATACTAAGTAGCAGAATGAATCACAAAATATAGCATTTACTCACTCCTCTATTACTATGTTAGTACAGTTGTTACCTGGGTGATAAATCGAAAACATTCATAAGTATAAAATAAAAATAAAAAACTATATATCCCCTATAATTTATTAGTTAAGATGTCCTGAACCCAAGGTAATATTTAAAACAAAGATGAATATGTCTTTAACCAGTTATATCTTGCTTTCATTGCAGCGACACCAAATTTAGCTACTGCACCTGTAATGAAGGCTGAAGGAGAAGGTTCCTATAAAATTTATCTGGCATCTCCTTCTGTGATTTCAGATCACACTCACCACTATCGGCTATGGGGACAAGGTTCCAAAAACATGGCTGGGCCGGGTGCTGACAGCCTGCTTCGCCTTGCTGGGAATCTCCTTCTTTGCCCTTCCTGCGGTGAGTCCCCCAGGAAAAACAAGACCCCTAGACTCCTTAGGGAAGTAGTATTCTCCTAGGCCAGACTCAA